CCGACGTTTCTTTCTGAGTGTACAAACTTCGTGGCAAACTTAATAGGTGGTATATACTGTTCATAGTATAAAAATCACACAAGCTGCTGAACGAAAGCTATGAATGTGSAAATGTTTTAATTGCAACTCATTAAATGTCTTTCGCTTGTGGTTAAATAAATCAAATTTTAAAATTATTGTCATATCACATCCGCTGCCGATCTAAGTATGTATGTTCTTGCATGTGCATATCTGCCTTGCCTCCATCTGAACTTAAGCGCCAACATAATTAGCTTATCTTCAATAAACCACGTTGTTGCTGTGTAATAGTACTTTATTATTATTATTATTTTTTCTTCAATGTAAAGTATAGCTTTGAATTGGAATTTATTGGTCTTTCCCTGTCTGCTTGCTGAAAGCTTTGCCTCGGCGGCTTCTTATGACGCTGTTAAGCATTTTACGTTCATATTTACGTACCTAAATTGTGGGGAAGCGTGTATCTATGTTTGTAAGTATGTATATTTTTTTATATCAAGATTTCTTTGTTCCTCACCGATCATGGCAAAGCCTGCAAAACTCTAGCTTTGATGCGTGTACGGATGGCCTTTAGTAAATGGTTTGATCATGGCACCCAAACCAATCTCTTCGGATTTTTCAACTCAATAATGAAATATATGGATGGTAGTGCGGTTTATAGGTTGTGCTCTGCTTTTTGCAGGTAGTCCCGCTTGTTGCTTCATTGCCTTTTTTCTGCGAATTAATTTTTAGGTATTTTATTTTTTTCCTGCATATTTGTCGATTTGTCGATTTATAAATAAATGGAGCAGGCGGCCAAGACAGTTAAGCCTGAGAAATTATTCCATTAATTAGTACCTTTAAACGAAAAAGAAATGAGGTGAACCAAAAAACATATAAAATTTGTTTTGCTTTGCTGTGATTGTGTTACCGACCAAGGTATTTTTTTTTTAACAATACTTCAAGAAGGGTTAGCACGTTACTTACTGTTTCAGTCAGAAGCTTTAGTATCGAACTGGTTCAATTTCAGTGCGCGTAAAGTTATTTTTAGTCCATATACGAAATTGAGATTTTCCATTGGAGGACGAGAACATTTCTAAAACTAGTGTATTCTTGTTCACTGGTTTCAAAATAACACGTTTTAGTGTCAAAAAGTTYGCTTCAATTTCTAATAATCATATTTATGTCGTCATTTCTTAAATAACTAAAGGTATGTACAGCATCAAAGAAAATTCCTTTATATCTAATAATCTTGGAGACAAACTCGACACTTCTTTCCAAAAATAATAAATAAGTTGTGGATTTATATTCGACAAAGATTGTTGCCAAACACAAGMASATTTCGCAGAATCTTTGGCAGTCGAACTCARAAAGAAAYTTGGGTATCATATGAATTGGCGCCAAAAGACGTTGAAGAAACATGTCAAAAATGCTGCTTGAATGCCATAATTTATGTATTGGATATAATCTGTTTATGAAAAATTAATTCATTAAGAGCTTACATGGGTTTCATCGGGTAAAAACACATTTTTTTTTTAATTTTTTTCTCATAAAAAATGAAATTTCTTAATAGAATTCTTTATTGCTACAAACATACACTATTAACAAAGAAGTTCTCAAATTAAAAAAAAAAATATTTTAAACTCGGTCATTGCAACGGCATTTCCGATGACCCTTGGCAGGATAACTCCTCACAGAATCACCTAAAGTGGAAAACACTACGTGTTTCAGTTTAAATCTTAACTTAAAACTTGGACGAAGGAATGAACTTGAATCGGATTTTTTGCAGACATTTTGACCAAAAAA